ATCTGCTTGCTATCTGGCTTGTGTTGATCACTCACACTGTATGCGAATATCAAAACAGCTCAGTATAGCCATAAGTATATATAATTTGTTAGTTACACCTCAATAAAGCTATGGAGGGGGATTATGTTTTTGAAAGCTTGAAAATCTCCATGGGTCTGAAACAAAGCGTGAATGTAAAGCAAACTGCGGGCAAAGGTGTTGGTTGGCTGACTTCTGGGAGCTAAGAGAGCTAACCCTTCCCCACCCTCGCTGCTGCAAATCGAGATGATTCAGAGGAAGTCCCCACAGCACAGGGAGAGGAGGCTTTGCCATCTGCTCATCCAGGGAGGTGGAAGGAGGCAGCTGAACCTGGGCCAGGTTATCTCCTGGTCTCCTGGGGATCTGGGACATTCCATTCTCACGTGGAAACGAGTCCCAGTGCAAGGTGACACTTGCCCTGGATCAGCATCCCTGGGAGTGGAAGCTAGGCAACGCACATCCCAAACCAAGGTGGGTGACTGTAGATCTCACAGGGGACAGGCAAGATGAGGCACACAAGGAAGGCTAGCACCATGGATAATGGCCAGTGACATCAACAGGGGACAAACCCACTCCGAAGAAGAGGAAAGCCAGGGCGACCTGAAAGGGTTTCAAAGTGGCCCCTTCAATACAAGGAAGTGATCGCACATGTCTTCCCTAGCTAGCATTTTAACATTCCTCCGGTTCAGCCTATAATGTGGAAATCTTGCCGCTTTAAGCATCTAGCTCGTACTTCCTGTGATGAGGCTGGAAATGCACTGTGCGCTTTATTTAGCAACTGACAGACGCCGTGGGAGCAGCTGAGTCCCCAAAGGGCCAGCAAGGAAGAGCGACCAAGGCTCCTGAGACCCGGGCGGTATCCAGGCCAGGGTGTGAGACGGACGAAGACTGGTGGCGACAGGGGCATCACGTCCTGGGTCAGAACACTTTCCTTTGTCTGAAAATGGGATGGTGGGGAGACTCAGTACACAGTCCCTCCAAATTAAATAAAGGTTTGATAACTAAATTCAGGCTAGCTGTAAACTAAATATATTGAATTCTCTACTTTCTCTGTCATGGAGGAAATATTAACATTCATGCTAACAAAGTGTTCTCGTTTGCTTTCCTCTGCTGCGATCCACACCAAAAGCAGCTTGGAAAGGAAAGGGTTTACTGGGCTTCCACGTCCTGATGTGTCCGTTCCTGAAGGAAGTCAGAGCAGGAACCCAAGGGAGGAACCTGGAAGAACACTGTTCACTGGCTTGCTCCCCATGGCTGGATCCGCTTGCTTTCTCATACCATCCAGGACCGCACCTGCAGGGGCGGCACTGCCCACAGTGGGCTGGTCCCTGATGCATCAACCAGCAATCAAGTCAATGTCCCACCGACATAGTAGTACAGGTCAATCCACTAGAGGCAATTCTGCAGTAGGCTGGTCCCTCCTGTATCAACCAGCAATGAAGTCAACATCCCACCGACATACCTACAGGTCAATCCGCTAGAGGCAACTCTGCAGTGGAGGGTCCCTCCTCCCAGGTGGCTCTCGCTTGTGCCAAGCTGACAAAACCCTGACCAGCGCATAAGGCAACTGTGTGTGCTGATTACACAGATCACAGCAGAAGGTCTACTATAAAAGATGACCGTGATGTATGGCCAAGAAATGTTGATGCACTGGGTGGGACCCTTGTAGTAAATAGGGGCGGCAGGGCTGCGTTCCCAGCACCCCGGCTGCCTGCTCAGCTTATGCCCGAAATAACAACACACAAACTGTATTCATTTAAATACTGCTTGGCCCATTTCTATCTAGCCTCTTCTAGGCTAACTCTTGCACCTGGACTAGCCCATTTCTTATCATCTGTGTAGCACCGGTCTTACCGGGAAGATTCTAGCCTACGTCCATCCTGGGTCGGAGCTTCATCGCGTGTATCTTCCCTGGAGCGGGGAGCATGGCGTCTCTCTGAGGCGTCTGCTCCCAAGAGGAGAGCTGTGGAGTCTGAGCTCACTTCCTCTTCCTCCCAGCATTCTGTTCTGTTTACTCCACCTACCTATGTTCTAACCAATAAAATGGGCCAAGGCAGTTCCTTTATTAGTCAATGACCTTCCTCCATCAGACCCTCTTGCAGTTTCTAAGGAAACTGGGAGGGAAAAGAGCATGGTGAAAACCCAATCAACCAATCTTAATGAACACTCTAGAAAGAGTGCTTGCAGTGAGGCTGGAAAAGCCACAGTTCCTGCCAGGCTGTCACGCTTGCTACTTGGCAGGACCTGTCCTCCCTGTGGAGCAAAGGAGGGCAGAAGGAGACACGCTGCTTGGAGTTAAGTGGCCGGGTGGGAGACAAATGACACTCTTCCCCAGTTCTGAGTGCTGGCCAAGGGGGCACGCACAGCCATTCCCAGGAGAGCAGATCTCTCGGGACCTATGGTGCATTGGTCAGCAACAAATTCAGTCTTTAGAAAAATATCCCAGAGGCAAGGGAGTTAGGTCAGTGGGGAAAAGTGCTTGTCACACGTTTTAGGTTGCTTTCTCTGTTGTGAGAAAGACTACATCCAAAAGCAACTTTTGGAAGAAAGAGTTTATTTGGCTTACATGGCCTGATTACAGTCCATCATTGGGGGAAGCCAGGGCAGGAACTCAAGCACAGAGGAACCTGGAGGCAAGGACTGAAGCAGAAACTATGGAGGAAAGCTGCTTGTTGGCTTGCTCCCTGTGACTTGCTTGGTTTGTTTTTCTTATACAACTGAGGGGTACCTGCCTAGGGGCAGTATTGTCTACACTAATTACTGATTAGTTCCCACAATCATTAATGAAAAAAAAATGTCCCCATAGACTTGTTTACAGGCAATCTAATGGAGGCAATTTTGTCAACTGAGGTTTCACCTTCTGAGATGACCTGAGTTTGTGCCAGTCTGATAAACAAACAAACAAACGCACACTTAGCCACCGCACACACAAACATGAGGGCCTGAGTTGCTCGCTATAGACACGTCACAGCACAAGCGTCTGAAACGTCAACATTCATACAACATGAGAAGCAGAGATAGAAGAGTCCCTGGAGGTTTATGGACAATTAGCCTGGCGTAAGCATCAGAGAACAATGAGACTGTTTCAGATGAGGCAGAAGGTGAAAATCTATGCTGCGATTGCCCTCCAACCTCCACATGCACATCATGGCACAGGTGTAGCCATATTCACCAACAGGAACATGTGAGCACACACGCATGCATGCATGCAGGCATGCACACACGCACCCACAGACACACAAAGATTGATGTAGTATTGTCATCTGTCAATCTGTTTGTGTTGATTTCATTGGTTAATAAAGAAACTGCCTTGGCCCTTGATAGGACAGAAAATTAGGTAGGCAGAGTAAACAGAACAGAATGCTGGGAGGAAGTGAGGCAGACGCCAGGCCTCTCCTCTCTGGTCAGACGCCATGAAGCTCCAGCCCAAGATGGACGTAGGCTAGAATCTTCCTGGTAAGCCAAACCTCGTGGTGCTACACAGATTATTAGAAATGGGTTAGTCAAGATATGAGAGTTAGCCAGTAAGAGGCTAGAGCTAATGGGCTAGGCAGTGTTTAAAAGAATACAATTTGTGTGTTGTTATTTCAGGGCATAAGCTAGACAGGTGGCCGGGAGCTGGGTGGCAGGAAGTGGCCCGCAGCTCCACACTACAAAAGATAAATACTAAAAAAATAAAAATAAACAAAAAACCCCACATTCTTTCTTAACTCTCAAAAGAGATCTTAAAGTCTCCCTACATGTCAAGCTCACAGCAAACTTTAATGTGTCGAGACTCATGGAGCTGTGGATGGCAAGCTCCCTGACTGAGACAAATGTTCAAACTAAGAGACACTTAGCTGAGTCACCACTGTGCAACGTTCCTGTTGGGCCACGGCTTAATTATTGCTTCCAAATCTGGACAAAAGCAAATTCGTAAGCCACAACTTCCCATGGCAAAGACAATGCCCATAGAGCCAGTAAATACCGAACAGCTCCAAGGCCTCTCAGGTTGGAAAATCCAGCTTTCCTGTATATCCCCTGTGCCTTCCCGCTCCCGATTTGGTGAAGCAGGCTAGAACATAGTCACTGATATGCCCGTATTGCCACAGATTGGACACCAGCTGATCTGCCAACAAAGCCAGATTCTCCTTTCCTTGGAAAGGAAACCGTGAAACAACCAGTGACCACAGCCTGTTCCTTAGGACTTAATTCTGTCCTGTTTGACGGCTCTCTTCCTGTCACTCTTTCCCCATTGACTGGCTTCCCTCAGCTCATTAGAAAAGGAAGCAGGAGAGAACTTAGCTCCTCACAAGCAATCTGGAGGTAGAAGCTTTCCTCAAACGCTTGGTGAATAGAAGGAAGGGTGGGTGGGAATGTAGATGTTTGATGATTGGATACATGATTGCTGCTTATGTTGGTTGATAGGGTACAAGAAAAGGTGGGGAGGGCTGGAGAGATGGCTCAGCAGTTAAGAGCATTGCCACGCTCGCTGAGGAACGGAACTACGTTCCCAGCACCCACAATGGCAACTGACATCCAGTATAACAACTCCAGTTCCAGGGGAACCAATGCCGTCTTCTATCCTCTGTGTACGCTATACACATGTGGTGCCCAAACATAACACGCAGGCAAAACACCCATCCACATAAAATAAAAGTGAATAAATCACTAAAAAAGGAGGGTCCTAGAGCAAAAGAGGTGGTGTTTTGGTTTGGCATCTGCTCCTCTCTGGGGCAGGTACTCTGGCTGGTATGATTCCGTTTCCCTGGAGGGAAACTGGGAATGCTAGTGCCCACGTGGGCACACAGCTGCAAGGGGGAGGAAACAACACAAAGAGCCAAACGCAGCTCTCAGTACCCGGGCGGACACGAATCGATTCTCATCCTGTAACCAGGTATGTGAACTGAGAGCCCGAGTCTCCCGGGGGAACACACACCTTTACCTGCAAAGCCCTGTGATTCAATTCTGCATTTGAAGAGCACCAAGAGTTCAAGGGTTACCTGTCGGCTTCCTTGCTTGGAGGAACAGCTACTTGTGCTTCTTGAAGGAGAAACCAATTTTTGGGACACACCCAGGTTCTTCTCGTCACTCATTATGAAGAGCTGGTCACTTGGGCTCAGCGCAGACAAAATGCCATGAGAAGACGGTGAAGCTGAGAGGATGAAGGCCGCGCGGGCAGGTGTCAGCTCCTATCTGGTGTGTCTAAAGACCATGTTGGATGTCTCGGAGGAAATCCCTAAAACCAACAGAAAAGTAATTGGAGAGGCTAAAGAATCACAGAGGTTAGACATCACCTCTATTTAGCTACTTAGCAACTAGGCCACACCACATATTATAGACTCCCATGGTCAAAAAACTCTGCAACTCCCCCATGGGGATATATATATATATATATATATATATATATATATATATATATATGGTTTTTCATGTAGCTATGAAATATGACACGTTTAAGAACATTAGTATGGTAGTTTGAATACAGATACATATGAAACTAGTACTACAAAACACTCCTAAACCACAGTGAGGGAGCATTCACATCACTATGACAACAACACAGTAATAGTAATAGTAAGTAACTGGCACTGGGAAGGATGTAGGGAAGTTAGACCCTGTCATTGGTGTGCACACAGAATATCCAGCACAGCAGAGAGGGATTCGGCAGTTTCTCAAAAAGTGGAAGCCCAGAATTATTACACAATATACAATTTTACAATTTAGATTTACAATATAGAATTTACAATCCTAAGAGAATTGAAAACTGGTGTTCAAAGGGAAAGTTACAGACTATGGCTCGTATCAGCAGTATTTATTAATAACCAGAGGTGGACGCACCCTAAACTGATGAATGAATAGACTAAATCTAAGAAAACCTGTAAGAGAATATCATCCAGACACCAAACAGAACCAAGGATTCACACATGATAATGTGGAGGAACCCTGCAGACACCAGGCTAAGTGAAAGAAGCCAAACAGAAGAGCCCGTGCTATGACAGTCTGTGAAGATGACATCTACAGAGTCAGCGAACCCATAGATCCGGGACAGAATGGATGAGACTGTCTAATGACCACGGGTCCCCTTGGGGGTGGTGAAAATGTTTTGGAACTAGACAGCAATGGTCATGTGACACTGTGAAACTACTTAATGTCGCTGAAACGGGCACTTGGAACTGCTGGAAAGAGGAGGTCAATGCAATGTGAATAATAACCTATTTGCTTCAGTTTTTGCTGCTGCTGTTTTTCATTTTTTGGTTTTTTTGTTTCTTTGAGAAAGGCAGTGGGTTTCTTATACCAAAGGATTTTATTTATTTGTTTAACTAATTTATTTAGTTTATGGATTTTTTTTTTTTGAGACAGGGTCTCTACATCTAGCCTTGGCTTTCATATAACTCACTCTGTAGACCAGGTCGACCTTGAATTCAGAGATCTTCCTGCCTCTACCTCCTGAGCGCTGGGATTAAAGGTGTGCACTACCACCGCCTTATTTAAAATGTATATTTTGTTGCTTCTTACTTTTTTTTTTTTTTTTTTGGTTTTTTGAGACATGGTTTCTCTATGTATCCCTGACTATCCTGGAATTTTCACTGTAGACCAGGCTGGCCCCAAAGGATTTTTTTTTTAATTCTTTCTAAAGACATCTATAATGCAATGTAACAGAAATAGGAGGGGAAGGGGACAACAGAATTTCCCACATCTAGTAGCAAACTCTTAATTAAAACAGTGATTAGTGGATAGGGTACACCCTACTCGCTGCCAAACGCTATAACAAGGATTCCCACAAGTACTGTCTCATTCTTCAACAGTATGACGGGAAGGCAGCATCTCTATTTTATAGGGAAGACCACAGAGCCTCTATTAAGTCAGGTCACTACCCAGATCACACAGATAGCAGGAGGAGCCTTTTAAAGGAGGAGCTGGAAAGAGGTGTGCCCCTAGTGGCCAGACACTGCAGTGAGAGCTGTTATACCATCTCTGATGCATTGAACTCATGTATGGCAAAGTGCCCAGCATGGGGAAAATCACTGACCAGAGCCTAGTTCAGTCCACTTCCAAGTAGCTATTGAGTCTTCCAGCTACCATATATATATATCAGTGATGGGGAGTCTTACACTGAGGGAGAGCCTCTCAGACTTCATAGAGACATCCCAGGAAGCACCATCTTCATCCGCAGCCTTGAATTAAGAGCAATGAATGTGTTTGGTTTGAGCTGCAGAAGGCCAAAACCTTACTAAACACAATTCATCCAAATTCCACAACTTCCCCCACACATGTCAACAGTGGAATATATTATATCCAACCCATCCAGTTACAGTGTTTACATAAGTCCAGTTTTTAAAGAAGCTATATGATTGTCCAAGAACCAATTAGTCAGATAGGACATCAAACGGGACTAATTAATAAATACTCAAATCTCGTAATGTCTCTCTGGCAGCTTGCACTCTAAAAATGATTACATTAAAGCCGTAAGATAAAATCAAAACAATACAGTGAGAAATCTAAATCTCAGCAAATAAATTAAGGGCCTATAGTCACAGAAGTCAATTTCCATACATGGTAGTTTGATGAGACACCCCACTCAAGCCCAGGTTCATGTATTTAAAAACTTGGTCCCTAGTTGGTGGCACTGTTTTGGAAGCTGGTTTAGGAGCTTTTAGGAGGTGTGGCCTTACTGAAGAGAGCATGTCACTAGGGTTGGGCTTTGAGAGTTTAAGGCTTCTTGTTCCTTGCTGTTCACTCTTTCTGCTTTGTGCTTGTGATTCAAGATGCGAATCCTCAGCTTCCTGTCTCTTAGGCCATCCCTCTGGAACCATGATCCCAAGTAAAGCTATCCATCTATAAGTTGCCTTTGTTGTTTTACGTTTTATCACAGCAGCGGAAAAGTAACCAACGCACCATGTTACGCTAACCTCCTCTCCATCTCTGACAGCATCACCAGTTGGCCCCAACAATGAATAAGCCTGAAAGCAAACAACATTGGCTCTTCATAAAGTTAGCTCTACTTACAGGGCGTGACTAAGTATGGCTGAATTAGGAGGAAAGTAAACTAGTTTAAAAGTGCCAAGAGAAGCGGGAAAGGCATACTAATAGTTGGTTAACACTGTTGCCTATTGTCTAAGAAAGGGGGGGAAGTACCCAAAGGTATCCTTGACAATTGAGTGTGTGTGTGTGTGTGTGTGTGTGTGTGTGTGTGTACAGTCATCACTATGACAACATGTCCACAGCGGACTAGGGATACTAACACAGACTTCTGTCTGTGTGTGTGCCAGGTTTTGTTTTTTTTAGCCAAAGGTTCTGATAAAGGCGAACATGGGAGGAGAGGTATGTGTGATCTGTGAAGGAGGGAGAATGCCTTGGACAGCAAAATGAGTCATGGGAGTCAAAAAACCCTGCCAAAGGAGAAGTCCAGACCCCACTCAGGCAACTGATGAGCAAGCGGGGTCACTGTTACCTCCTGACCTGGCCAATCTTACTCTGCAGGGAACTCTCAAGCAGGCCAAGTGGGCTTGGAGTGGGCTAAAGCTGATAATCTTGAGTTGGCACACAGGGTGAAGGTCTCTGCCAGGACCACACCCCTTTCTCTTTCCCTGTTTCCTCCCATACCCATTCCTTAAGCAGCCCAAGGGTAGAAGCCAGGGAAATACTACTGTTTTATTCCCCAGGATCTTGCTGCCCTCTAAAAGGCAAAGGAAACTCAGTCTAGGAAGAGGATGGGATTGTTCTCAGAGCCAAGAACAAAGGAGCGGTGTCTCATATGTAGGGGTCCCAGGGGCCACTGCTGGTCATTGTACAGGGACCAGTACCACACCCACTCACGGGGGCTCTTCAGGGCTAAGCTAGGACTAAGAAGGACCCCTGCATCTACTCTCAGGAACTCTGCAGGGTCAGGATGGACCCACTTTAGGGGGCTGGCCTCGACTAAGGGACGTCTTCTACTTCAGATAGTTGTCTTGACTGTCTTGACCTAGGAAAGCTGTAATGAATGATAAGTTCCTCAGGCAGCACATGGGGCCAGGGGCCTGAGCTGATGACTCGGGAATCTCTGGGATGCTGAGATGAGGACCGACACACGAAAGACCAATGTTCACACCTGACCCGGTGACCCTTGGATGGGAAAACCTCTATCTAACTCAAGGAACATGCTGTTCGAAACAAAATGTAACCGCATCCCTGTCACAAACAATGGCAACTTATATTCATTTTTCTTTTGCTGAGGTTTCCCAGGAAAGTGCACCAATCTTTGAGTACATATAGAATTGACTTCTGTGAGTGCATAACTACCACCTGGCTTCAGAAACAGAACATCCTGTAGCTCCCAGAAGCTCTGGAATCTCCTGGACCTGATCCCCTTCGTCCCCCGTAAAGGTATGTGCTCATAAATCTCTACAAATCCTTGTGGTGTGCTGGAGGGGCCTCATGGGTGTTTTGGAGGCTTTTGTGGATGTTGTCTTTTACAAGTGTTTGATCTGTGGCAGAATTCGGTGTCAGCCCGCTTTCGAGTCAGCCTCATCGCCGAGCTGGGAAGGAAGAGACCACACTCTCCCATTTTTCTAAAGCATGGAGCCTCCATATCTGAGGGAAAAGCCGGATGCACCCTGGCCAATGTAAAGATACTTTGCCAGGCCTCAGAGCTGGACTGTGGCCTTTTTCACTGCTGTTCAGCTTCTTTAAAAAGATGAGAAACCAGCTGTAGCTATAAGTTCAGTGAGCATAATGTATGCAAACATATGCCATTTGGGGGAGCTAAGAGAATAGAGTCCTAGCAAAACGTGGGGAAGAGGACTAGAAAGATGGCTCATCAGTTAGCAGCATGTGCCGCTCTTGCAGAGGACCCGGGTTTGATCCCTGTAGGGTGTCTCCCAGTCACGGTAACTCCAGCTCTAGAGGCTCACGCACCCTCTTCTGGGGGCACTAGACACACACGTGAAGCACAGACATACATTCAGGCAAAATGCTCACACATTCTGAAAAATGTTTTTCAATGGGTCAGAATAAAGACCAACATATTTACGAGATGATCCTAGGAGACATTTCTTTTTTAACTTCACATGAAAAAGGAGACACTATTTGGGAAAGAACGGAGGGCGGCGTGCACGCCACAACACGCCTTGGCAGGAGCCTAGTTTGAACTGGTACTCTCCTACTTCAGAATGTACCTTTAGAAAGAAAGCCACTTCCTTGATCTGGTAGAGGGTTTTTCCCACACAAAACAGGAAATAGTACGCTTCGTCTCTC